CTTTTGTTGTTAAAATGTTACGTCTCAAACAAGTACAGTACTGTATGCTTTTTATATTTTTAGTAGTGTGTCACACAAACAGCAAATATTGTCAAAAAAAAAAGTAAGAAATCTGTGGGGGTGCTTTGATTCATTTTGAAGCACCCCCAAAATGGGCTAAAATCGCCCCTGGTTGCATGGCACAGTGTCTGAAAACAGTCTTTGGCTCCATTTCTCTGTAACCAGAGCAAATGCTTTCTTGATGACTTTACTGACCCAGCTCATTTTGTATGTGATTGAGTCATAAGGAAGGATGAATCAGGGTACACCGGCTGGAGCAGTCAGCATCCGGCGGTGCTTAGTTTCACAATCAGCTCCAGTCCCCGACAGTCCCTGAAAGCTCTGGCGACAAAGGTGAAAATGCTGGGGGTCTTCACTTACGGCCTACGATACAGTGGTTACATACATCATGCTGTCATAAAGTATCAGTTGTGATTGTATTGTATGATTGCGACGATGTGTAGTAATAAATGAGCGAACAGTGAGATTACAGGTTAACTCATCAGCCAAAAGATAACATCCTTCATTGAATCTGAAAAAAAAAAACGCAACAGGCTTGTCACTGCGGACGTGAATTCAGCACCGATGCGCGATACGTCCCAAAGAGCTGGTCCCAGTGCGTGAAGAGAGGGGCGTAGTTTATGGTTTGCAAACTGTGGTGTGCGTGGTGGTGGGGGGCTCCTCCCAGACAGGGCAGCAGTCTGTGCAGAGCCCAGGGCAGGTCGTAGCCGCAGTGGTCCTCCACGGCAAGCCAGGTGTTGATGAGGTGGAAGAGGGCCTCGCTGAGAGGGTGACATCCCACCATCCAGGCGCTGCTCAGAGACAGCAACAGTAGAGACAACAGCTCGGCCGAGCTGCAGTCCTGAGCTGCCAGAGCGAAGGGAGTGTGGTGCTGGTGGTGCATCTGGTGGATGTTGCGGTACAGCCAGGAAACTCTAAGGATGAAAACCCACACACCGATTATGGTTACAGTGCTGCTGTAATGGAAAATTACTGGAAAGTTCTCAGAAGTCAGAATAATATAATATCTACAGACAAAAACAGAAAACGAGTGCTGCTACTGGTACTTTAACTGGCACTGTTAGAGCCAGTGTTACAGCTATTAGCCACACAAGTGATTTATCAAGAGCAAAGATCAGGAACCCAACACTGATTTTATATGGGAATGATATGAATAAAGATAGTGTTACTGGGAAGCTGGAGTTCATGCTTGACACTTCTGGCGAAGTGGTTTACATTCTTCCTAACGGAAGAAAATAATTTGTAGGACGAAAAAACCGAAATCAGTCCTTAAAATGTACATGCGCAACAAGTATCTAGCTTTAGCCATCAGCGGACTCTCTTGTTTTCTCTCTGGTCTGCTGTTTAAAAGGTCAGAAAATAGAGCAAGCGCAATCATATAAATATCTCAGGACCGTAATAAACGAAAAACTGAATTGTGATTAAAATTGCAAATCGGTCTGCAAAAAGGGTCACCAGCACCTTTACTGCCTTAGGAAACTTGCTCGTTTCCACATTGACCGAACAATTTGAACTTTGTTTTATCGTTCTTTTATTGAGTCTGTTTTATCTTTTGTTTGGTGCCATGGTTCGGTCAGACCTCTGTTACAGAGAAAAACTCACTGAATCAGATAGTGAGATGGTCCAGTCGTCTGATAGGTGAGTCACAGCCATGTTTAGCCTCCCTGTACTCTAAACAGGTACAAAGGATGGCTTAATCAATTATTAAAAATGGTTCCCGTCCTCTATAGGATGAATTTTCAGCTTCTTCCCTCGGGATCAGTAGCGGTTTTAGATACGGGCGACA